TAATTCCTGATATAACTTCATTGTCTTCAGTGGAGTTATACTGCAAATGCGTTTGACAGATAGTCATGTTTCTTCTCCAAGAATAACTTCTAAGGCAGAAGGTTTAAACATGAGTGAATGAAAGTCCTGGGCCAAGTTCTACCCTAATTTAAACCCTGTACAAAACAGCTGACTTGGAAGTGAGGGTGTAAGGCAAGGCAGAAAGAGACATGAGTCTATTCTTCCTTTGCTGGGACATTACATCAGTTCCCTTAGGTAACGGTCATGTCTCCAAAAAACACAACAGGAATCCGAATTGCAGTTTGTTGGAGATTCTTTCCTTCTAAGCCTGCAAGTTCTTGTACTTCACAAGCAGTAAGTGTTCAGGGAAGAGCCTCAAGTAGTCTTAGTGGAGGACCATGAAATTCACTCCTGTTAGGTACTGCATCAATCCAAATGTTGCCTGCTTCAAAATGCATCTGATCTTTGATGATAAGCACTGGAAGTGGTCATTTTAATATGAACATTGGAATTAGTCACCCAATTTAATCAGAAAATAATGCGTTTCAGACATTCTTAACCTCATTGTTATTTTGAATGAAAACCTGGCATTTGGATTTTTTTTTTTTTTTTTTTGGTGTGTTGGATTATTTTTGGCTCATTTGTAGTATTAGAGTTAAGAATGTCTAAATAAGGCTGACGGGTCAAACAGGGTGCACACACTTTTGCTAAGGTGAGAAGGAAGTAATGCCCATCTCAATTCTTTCTACACAGCATTGCTAAGGACACGGGCAAGTTTCATGACGCTTTCCCCAAAGCATCATTTACGCCAGCAGCAGAAATCAGCGCTACGGCTGTAAGCGCAGTGAATTCCTAATGTCCTCACTTCTGATTCTTCTGCTGGCATAATTTCTTTTAATAAAGAGTGATGTAATCTGGCAGTGAGTGAGCTCAACATAAACAAAATGGCTCCACAGTAATACCCCTGCTCTTGGAGGATGATTGCTAGGGCAGGCGGCAAGAGCCAGCAAGCTGGTCTCTGGAGTGACAGCCTGAGCACTTGGATGCCCTTCCCAGCTCTCCTCTCATTGCCTATTTTCAGTCAAATCAGATAGCAAAGTGACATACATTGTTTTAATACTCAACTGGATGTCACCAGCACCCCTAATGAGGCAAAAGTGAAGACATTTCCCTTCCAGCATAGTTTGCAATAGTTATAAACAGGACAGATACTGGATCAAGAGCATCTCATGTTCCCCATCTGCGAAGTGGAGCTGCTAGTCTTCAGCCACCTAACAATGTGTGGAAGTGAAAAGCTCCACAGGATGGGCTGTGACCATTGCCATGAAGGACAGCAGGTGTATTTTGAGGGAACCAGCTAGGCCAGAAGAGGGGATGCTGAGCAGAGCCAGCCCCACAGGAGCAGCAGCTTTGCGTGGTCCCAAGTGTGCATGCCCTCCAAGACTGGCACGGAGCCCATAGCTCTGAAGTGACACTTCACCACTCACCTGGGGCTGTGCTGGGGTGGCATTTTCTTCCCTTCACCGGGCCCAAGCAAGCCTTATGCAAGTAGTTTATTACCTGCAGTGCTGAGCAAGCAACTCACTGGGCTTGCTGTGCTCCCCGCTGAGACCTGCCAGCAAGGACGCTAATTGCCATCTGGCCCTCTGCATGGCAGCTGCCTCCCACCCTTTCTTTTCTTTGGGTCCCTCCTGTGTATGTGATTGTTTGTTATTTCTGCATACAGGCCTCCCTGCTGGAGACAAATACAACCTACTTTTTCCCCTCTTCATCAGAACTCACATTTGTGATCTGGAATTCTTCACTTCTGTAGCACTTACTGCCTGTACCGTTTCATGCCTTGTACATAGCCATACCTCTTTTCTACCAGACTCATCTCAGCTGGTGCGGTCCACATCTACCTTTCCTTCTTATCTCCTGTCACCTTCTCACCTCCTTCATTTGGGCCACCTCCAAAATCAGCTCTTCTCCCTCTCTTCCTTCAGAGCTGCTTCTCTCTATCACCAATCTCCGACATTAGTGCTTGACAGACTTTGTTCTGGTTCCCTTGATCACTTTGACCCTCCTTTTCAGCAATTTCCATCTACAAGTACAAGGTTATCATAATTAAGTGGACCATATTTAAATATGAAAATAGCTGGACATGTTCCCCCACTCTCTTCTGCCTTTTATCCCTCTTCATTAGCTACTCTAGGTCCAGGCTCAGGGTAAGGCACTGCAACACAGGTCGCACATCACTGCTTCTGCCTCAGAGTACGGCTGTGAAAGTAGAAAGCATTTTTAAAATCTGCTCTTGAAAAAGAAGATGGTAGGGAGTCTTCTGAAAGCATGTCAGGAGAACTTTTACCCTGCATCAGTTCCCCAGTCAAAATGGAAAAAGGAAAAAAAAAATATTCTGTGTATTTTACTAGCAATTAGAGAACCTATTACTAGCAATTAGAGAAGAGTCATGACCAAACTTTTGAAACATCAAGATGTTTAAACTATTCCAGCTGAGGTAAAATGTGGGGAATTTGCTTTGGCTTTATAAATCTTAGAGAATCAGTCTAGCTTTGTCACGCAAATAAACCACATAATAGGTTTTCTAGAGATAGATAAGACAAGTGGACAAATCATAGAATGGTTTGAGTTAGAAGGGACCATGAAAGGTCATCAAATCATCTCAAGCTTGATGACTTGTATCCTATAAATGCCTCTCTGTCTTTCCACTAACTATAGAGGGAGACTAGATATTTAGCTAAAACTTCTTCATATGGCTAAAACGGGTTTAAATGAATCCTATCTGACTGGAATAAAAATGATAAATTGGTGGATCAAAAGCTGGACATGAGCCAGCACTGTGCACTCACAGCCCAGAAAGCCAACTGTGTCCTGGGTTCGGTAAAAAGAAGCATGGCCAGCAGGTCGAGGGAGATGATTCTGCCCCTCTGCTCTGGTGAGACCTCACCTGGAGTACTGCATCCAGCTCTGGAGCCCTCAGCACAGGAAAGACATGGACCTGTTGGTGCGGGTCCAGAGCAGGGCCACAAAAATGATGAGAGGGCTGGAGCACCTCTCCTATGAGGACAGGCTGAGAGAGTTGGGGGTGTTCAGCCTGGAGAAGAGAAGGCTCTGGGTGACCTGATTGCAGCCTTTCAGTACTTAAATGGGGCCTACAGGAAAGATGGGGACAAATTTTTTAGCAGGGCCTTTTGCAGTAGGAAAGGGGTAATGGTTTTAAACTTAAAGAGGGTGGATTTAGACTAGATATAGGGAAGGAATTTTATATAATGAAGGTGGTGAAACACTGGAACAGGCTGCCTAGAGAGGCAGTAGGTGCCCCATCCCTGGAAACATTCAGAGTTGGGTTGGACAGGGCTCTGAGCAAACTGATCTAGCTGAAGACGTCCCTGTTCATTGCAGGGGTGTTGGACTAAATGACCTTTAAAGGTCCCTTCCAACCCAAACGATTCTATGATTCTGTAAGTCCTTGTGCAGACATCATCATGGATGGAAAATAAGCTACACAGAGATGTTTTTGTAGTACAATGTCATTCACATTAGGACTATAACTTGAAAAGTTACTTTGGCCACATTCACTCTGTGGGCCAAGGAGATTATTTCTGCAAAGGCTAAAAAAAAAAAGGAGGATTTCCTAAGAAAAATAGAAACTTAAAATAACAATGATTTAAAATTGCTTCTTGTGCAGTGATCTCATTTCCTTAGGATCAGCTTCTTACTACCTGTCCAAGTGTGAGGCATAGTTAAATCTTCCTGAAAACTAATGTTCTGATTGTATTTTCAAAATAGGTTCCATTTAAGCAAAGCTTAGTTTATTGTACTTAACCTGCAGAGTGTTGTCTTGTCCTTCTCTTGGGTACAGTAATCTGGGATGTGGGGCATTCTTAGCGCTTTAATTTTGAAAAGGATCAGAACTGGGTTTAGTTGTCACCTTTTACTGTCAGTCCGCAACTGAAAGAACGGAAGTATCCTGTAGGGCGGACAACGAGGAAGATTTTCCTGCAGCTGAAATCATTGCAACCATAGCTACGGCAGTGATAGCTCTAGCTCCATCTTGGAAATGCAGAAAGGATTCTGAATAGTTTTCAGGGTGAACACTTTGTTTACACTACTAGAAATTCAAGGCTTTGCTTAGTTTTAAATTATAACATAATCAATATCCTGACAAAGCCTTTATGAATTGTTTTTAAAGGGTGTAGAGGGACAGAAAAATGTAAGAACATAAGTAGCAAGATCTTGACCCATAAATTGAAACTGAGAACTAGTCATCAAGTACTCCAAAATCTAAAGCTTTATTTCTACTTCTGCAAATTCATTAATAGCATTTGTTGACCACTGGTTTAAAATATTATAGCTGATTCCTTCAAGTGACAAGTAGGCAAAACACGTAAGATAAATTGTTTCAAGGAAGGCATGCCAAAATATAGAACAAAGCCAATTATATGTTTACCTTCCAAGGTTTAAAATCTGAAGGGAGAGTTTTCAAGAATGAAATTATTTTGAACACCCCTAGTTTTGAAGCTTCAAAGCATGCTGGTTCAAAATCTGCCAACCCTTTTTCCACTGGTTATGGGAAATCTAAAGCATCCAAAATAGTGTTTATTTGCAAAGGTCATGTGCGCATAGCACTGTAAATAGGGTTGTTTTGGCTTTTTCATGGTAGAAGCTACCGTGACAAAAAATTAAGTGGGGAAAAAGAGACTACCGTTGAAAATATCTTGGTATTTTGTCGTGCATTGTTGCGTAGGTAAATGATTAATGCTGTATAGAGTTTTTAGGTTTGTTTTCATTTTGTTTCGCCCCTCCAAAAGCGTGAAGTGGGCCACAAACAGTGAAAGGTTTTGTCTGCCCCACTAAGCAAAGCTGAATTCTGCTCACAGAGCTGAATGCAGGGGAGCTGCTACATGCCCATTCCCACAGAAAAGTTTTCTGGGAAAGCTTTAAAAACCATATGAGTTGATGGCTTGTGCACCTCACCTGGAATCTTTTTGTTCCTCCAGCTCTCGTTGTACGGTTCCTGACCAAACGGTTCATCTGGGAGTATGACCCGACACTAGGTAGGTTGCATTTCATTCTATAGACATGGTATGCTGTATATAATGGCACGGCCGAAGTAATGGAAAGTCATAGAGTTAAAATTCCAAGCCTCAGTCAACCTTTAAATTTGCTGTAAAAAGCTTCTCTATGGTCATTTAAAGCTGGAATAAATTATTACCTAAGATGGCAGAAGAGAGAAGCAGTAACACACTTAACCGAAAGCAGAATTAATATATAAGGCACATTTCTGCCCACACAGAAGTCAGCGGGAGTTTTGCCATTGAAAGCAATTGCGTTAGTATTTCACTCTGAAAATTATTTAGTGTGCGATCAGTTTTCTGCTTTTGGATAACCCAAACATCAGCTGCTAGAGAACAAGATGGCTGGGATACAGGTCTCAAAAATTCAAGGGGAATTCACGGGGTCTCAAAAATTCAAGGGGACTCTAGGCACTTAGAGTCAATCTACCTATGCTTAGGTAAGTTTTGTTTCTCACATATATTGTGTCTCACTTTTTGGGTGACCATACAGTGACACCAGTCATCAGAAGAGCATCCACGTCTCCTCCACTAAGCTCCCACTTAGCTGTGTTGGGTCTGGCACAGATATGTCAAAAAAAACCAAACTGTCAAACAGTTGCTCTGAATTAGAGGCCTTGCTTCAAAATTTGGGCCAAGGTCCAATTTCTCAGTATTCCCTAAGTTAGGATATATTTTAATGCTCTGTGCCCAGGAAAATCCAGGCCAAGAAGTCTGAAATGAGGCATTTACATCTTAGAAGGTACCTTTGATACCTCAGGACTGAGTGATTTGCTCATAAAGTAAGGGGCTGGGAAATTTCTTTTTCTCCTACAATCTGTTACCATCTCCTTCCTACCTTTTCTTCCGAGGCTCAAGTACAGATCATGCAGTTAAATACCTATTTCTTCGTTAGGGTTCTTTCTCTAAGAGATCATGCTAGAAAAATAGAGAATGCCGTAAACTTGCACAGCAGAAGCAAAGATAAGTTTAATACATTTTATTGCAAAACCCAGGCAGCCCTTTCAGCAAAGCAAGGTATCCAGTATCATACTAAGCATTTGCATCTGGTAAGATAAAGAAATGACAGATATCAGAACTCTCATCTTGGGAAAATAATTCTCAGAACAACCTGAACTCAAATGCATTCTTTTATCTGCTAATATCAATATATTCATCAGTGAATTATGTGTCACCTGCCTTGTACTGCACAGTGGTATGTTCAGTATAATGTTTTACTAGTATTATTAGTATTAATACTTCACATCTCTATCACTAATGCATCATTTTAAGAACTTGACAATAGAAGTGAAGTGTTTTGTTTCAGTATAGTCTAAGTTCATTAATGTCTTACACGGGCACTGCATGCAAAAGTATACTTGTTGCCTTGTTTAAGCACGCAAATGAAGTTATCAGCAAGCTGCAAGGTCTATTATTTTTTGCCCCATTATGAAGGCCCTACATCCTTTTTGGTGTACAAGACTTGACATTTGTTTCTGTTTTACAAATGAATACAACTGCAAATTAACCATGCCCCTCAGGAATCTAATCTTCTGTTTGCAACGCTGAAAGCTTTCACACAGACAACAGTCCTATCTCTATAAACCAAAATTAAATCTCCTCAGACTTACTGAATTCTACGTTCTCGTTCAGTTTAGAGGATAACAGCTTAAATCATGTATTAGAGTTATTGCGCAGCTAAGTACTTTAAGTTGCTCAGAGGAAAAGGTTTGAGAAATGCAAAAACTAATAAACTATTATCAATAAGTTATTTCTTAATCACAGTAATCTCTGTTGGAAGCTGAAATTTTAAACACTATTCAGCCTTTCATAGATCAACCAGGAAGGCACTGTACCTTCAAAAGCTTTGAGAAACAGTGCTTTAAAGAACTCGTTTCTGTCTTTATCATCATCATCCCTGAGTGATCTAGTGGCCAGTTACCTGTAAACATCACCGAGCTGAATTTACTGACAAGCTTCAGCTGAATGGATTCATTTCTTCTCAGCAGTCATGGATTGGCAGTTGGGTGGGAAGAGGGATATCTATATATTCCACCAATACAAAGTTTATGTTGTGTCAGTGAGGCCCATTTGCCCTACAGGAAGAATAAGTAGCTTTGTCTAGTAACTTTGAAAGGGAAGGAGTAAAACAGATTCAAACTGTCTAGCTACTAAGCAACAGGAGGTTTTGCAAAAAAAAAAAAAAACAAACATCACTGGGCTGTGACAAAAGTGTCATATTTATAGTTTATTTCTTATGTCAAGTTTTCAACCACCCATTATCCCTCTGATGCAAGGAATCCCCAGATAATTCCTATTTTTAGGAAAGCTTTCACCAAGCTGTACAAGGCCTGATGGAAATTCAGCATTACCCTAAACTAAGCATCAGGGTAAAAAAACGTTGTCCTCTTAATTCAAGGGTGGCACATTTTAACTGGAAAGGGAAAAACACACCTTATAAATATTCTTTACTACCCTAACCTGCCAGAAGAAAATGAAGGACCATATTTTCAGCAGCATCTGGATATACTGTTGTATCTCCAGGAGCCAAATTACAAACCACAAAATAACATTTTCTGGTGGGAGAAGCATCACTGAATCTTGCAAGCTTTGGCACGTGGAGCTGCTGCTGAAGTCAGGGCTTTGCAGCTCTACCACTTTTGTGCATGATGTTGAATCTCTGCAGGCATCAGTACAACAGCTGCATCTTTGCAAAAGTACATATCACTGCGTTTTTTATTTTACTATTCTCAGCCAAGGGGTAACAACTGCAGCAAAGGTCATTTTCTGGGGAGTGTTAACTGTCAGCCTTGACTTCTCCATCATTTCTGCTTAACTGGCGAGTCACTGTCACCATCTTGGCATGGTTTTTTTTTGTTTTGTTTCTTGGGGTTTTTTTTGTTATTGGTGTTTTGTTGTTGGTGGTTTTGATTTCTTTTTTTAAAGTGCCCAATCCCTCAGGCTAAGTGTTTACCTGGCATTATCAAGGCAAACGATTTTCCACTTTCAATCTTGATTTATAAGTCGCACAACTATCCCACATGTGCAACAGAATTAGAAGGTTCAATGAAAGAGCTCTATGTAGAAATAGGCTGGAACCACACATTTAAAAAAAAAAAAAGTAGTTTTCTAAAATATTAAATATATGAATTCAGCATTAAACATAGTCTTCTTCAGCTCATTAAATACATACTGAGAAAGGGGATTGGATTTCACCAAAATTTATTAATGTTTATATGTTTTTTAACTAGAACCCAACACAAACTAATAAGCAAGTTCCGTGTGGTGTTAGAAGGCCTAAAAACACTTGGCCTGGATAGGGCACCACTTAAGCCACAGTCTAAATGCACTTCACAAACACAAGCAACACATCCGCAGTGGATTTAATGCAGAGCTGGAAATTTGTGCTGTGTTTCAGTTTGGCTCTATTAAGAGATTCTTAAAAGAAACATCAAAACAAGCATTCCTGTGTACCATTTCAGCAGGGCTTGCTGGGAACAGGGTGGCAGGAGGCTGACAAATTGCCTGCCACCAAGACAGATAGGCTCAGGGGGGAGTTTGCAGCCTGCAAACAGCCACCCTCGCAGCAGGGCCGCTGCAGGTGGTCCTCGGGGCTCGACCACCTCATCACTGCCCCAAAACCAGAAGCATATAAGTGCGCAACACCTGCCAGTCAGCATTATCTCAGGGTTGGATGTACTCTGTGGGGATGAATTTCAAGGTGGAGGTGCCAAAGACCTTTATTTGGCCACCTATCCTCTGTGGGTAAACTCATGGACTGGATGTAGGACTCCCATGGACCTCAGTGACCCAGGGCTTCACACCGTTATTTTCAAGGCTGCTGTGAATAGCTGATCTCCTCAGTGCCAGTAAATAGGAATGTCAGCTGTTTCCCCCATGAGCTAGTGGCAGCACCCAGAATTTAGGGTGCCTTCACCTGACCTCAAAGATGGAGAGATATTGTGGTTTGCTGTCAAACAAGTGATATTTAATTGATTTTAAAATTGGCGATGCTGAATCAGAGTAAGTCGTCAAGGGAACTGGTAAATTTATGTCTTCCTGGGCAGCAAAACAGGAGGAGGAAGCCCAAAGTCTCATCACAGGAGTAGGCAGACAGCAGCGGTGGCCTGCACAACATGTCACGAGCAACAGCAAATTACTTGCCTCCATGAGCCATGACACGCAGGGAAAATCTCCTGGATCAAATGATGAAACAAGAAAATTCATCATAGCGGTGGAAAAGTGGGTGGTTTTTAAAATAAGTTTTGCGGTATTTCTCTGAGAACATATTTGTTGTTCTACCATAACTAGGACAATTTGCATAACTAGAAACAGAGCTGGGATATCCATTTTTTTTAAAGAGAGGGAATTATGAACTGGGTTGCGTCACTTGTTCTGAATTAGCATTTTTATGTGCAGTTGGGAGAATCAGGTGCTTTCTGAGGTGCAGGGACTTAAACCATCTGTTTTTGCCATGTGGGGAAACACCCAAGCAGATGAAACCCCAAGGACATGCAGGAGACTGGTTCCTCAGTTCTTTTCTTGATTCTGACACTGATTTGTTGCCCACAGTCTTTCTGCCTCTGCTTCTCACCTATAAAATCCTTCATCTCAAAGAAGGGTTGTAAATTCTTTAAGTAAGTGGTATGCATAGAGCTAAGACTCACATATCAACGGTGCAGAGAAACACCAAGCATTTCTCTAAAGACTGAATTTTAAACAAAAGTTTACTTATAAAATAACAGCGACCAAGGAGATAATATTTTTGTTGACCTTTCTAAAAGTCACTTGGCTTTCTCACACTATCCCTAGATGTCTTTATCCGTTCACATATTTCATACAACTTTGCTAATCCTCTGAAAGGAAAACTGTCTCAGAGCAGATAATCAGCAGAACAGTGCATGATGGACTGGCCCATCTATGAAGGCAAAGAGAAAGCATAGGAGTTTTATTTAATTTGAATGGGGTAGAGAAAAGACTATTCGTTACTTTGAAGAAGCAGA